GGTGAATTGGGCCACCTAGAGTGTTGGGTAGTCAAACAGGCGAATTTAACATCCACCGCAATCAGCTCCCTCCTAGAAGACGAGGAGATTACCAGGCAGGCCACACTCCAAAATCGTGCTGCTATAGACTTTCTCCTACTGTTGCATGGACATGAGTGCCAGGAATTTGAAGGACTTTGCTGCATGAACTTGACCTCAAAAGCTCCTAACATCCACGCTGCCCTCCGAAGCATGATCAGCTTGATCAGACAAGTGAAGCAAGAATCTGAAGATTGGTTCCATGAACTGTTCAAAGGCTGGGGACTCACAGGGTGGTGGACTTCCATAGTTAAAACAATTTTGTTAATTTTTATTATTCTTTTCCTTGTAATAATGGCAGTCGGGATCCTACGTCACTTAGTTTTCAAGGCTATTAATGGCCTCATACCTTCTACCTCAGTAGTCAATCATATAGAAATGAAAAACCTGGGACAAGCTAACTCTCCCACTAACTGCAAGTGGTGGGCGAGAGCATAATCTAAAGCATAATGAACCCAATATCCTTCCTTCAACTTTGTAAAACAAAAAACGGGGAGATGTTGTATCTCACTAGATGTATTGAAAATGGTAGATTCCATGACCCCTGTAGTGTCCTGTGGTCTGGTCCCTCTCCCCTCTGGCCATGCCTAGTTGGCCGACATCCAATTTTCCTCCGCCTCCTTACAGACCCTAGAAAAGACCTATGCCCCCTGACCTTGCCCTCTTTTCGCTCCTGGAAGCCCACAAGAAATAAACCTCAGACTCTCCCCAGGGGGGAAAGAGCCTCTTTTGTTATCTTTTATTCACGTCCATGTAGTGGATCCCAGAGGCTTCTTCCTAACATCTGAGCAAGTCGGCTACAGTCAACGTGTGCAATTGATGGCAGCGGACCCCGCTACACTTGTGCTTCCTGTGGAGTGGGAGTTTTTTGAAGGGGCTTTTATTAATAGTGTCCCTTTGCAAAGTGCGCTGCAAGATTTTAAGGGGCAGATTGTTTATCATCTCCCCAGCCATAAGCTATTGCATATGGCAAAGACAGTTAAACTGTCATTGAGACCCAAATATAGTCGGGTGCCAGTGCAAGGTCCTACCGTCTTCACTGACGGATCAGGCAAAACAGGGAAGGCCATTGTTACCTGGCAGGATGAGTCTGGCTGGCAAACGTTGGAAGGTCATGAAACAGGTTCTGCTCAGATCATTGAGTTGAAGGCTGTCACTATGGCATTCCAACGGTTCTCACAGGTACCTTTGAATTTGGTCACAGATTCTGCGTATGTTGCAGACATAGCTCAGCGTTTGGATTGCTCGCTCCTGAAAGAGGTTGACAACGCCGTCCTGTTTCGGCTCTTGAAGACCCTGTGGTGCTCAATCCAAGCCCGAGCTCATCCTTATTATGTTCTGCACATACGGAGTCACACAGATTTGCCAGGGTTTCTGACAGAAGGTAATGCCAGGGCTGATAGGTTGGCTAACCCTGCCTGGGTGGCACCTCAGCCTGATAAGCTCGCACAAGCTCGAGCATCGCATGAGTTTTTCCATCAGAACGCACCTACTCTGCAAAAACAATTTCATCTAACAGCCACTGAGGCTCATGACATTGTTGCCTCTTGTGATGACTGTCATGGCCTGGCTACGCCTTTACCATCAAGGGTAAACCCCAGGGGTCTTAAAGCCCTGCAGCTTTGGCAGACAGACGTCACTCACATTGCTGAATTTGGCAGATTGAAGTATGTGCATGTCTCTATCGACACCTTTTCTTCAGCCATTTGGGCATCTGCTCATACTGGGGAAAAGGGTCGAGATGTTATTGCCCATTGGAGAATGGCTTTTGAAATCTTGGGCATACCTTCTGCAGTGAAAACTGACAATGACCCTGCTTACGTCT